TTATAATTTTTTCCCTTTAAACTGAATGGAAATTAGTACCAATTTATGTATCTTTATTTTACTTATTTCAACAAAAAGTAATCAAGATGGTGGGCGCACTACAATAGGTCCCAGTATGCAAAGAAGATAAACTTTTTGAATTCTTAATCTATCAGATATTATTTTAAAGTTATATCAGTTAGGAACAAAATATATATAGACATGTGTGCTTTTGCTATCAATCTCACTTGCTATATCCTAATCAAACTTAAAATCATGCCTTATTAAATGATTAATCATTTAATTTATTAAAAACATCTTTCTCCGTATAAATAAATTTCAGTTCTCAAAACATGAGGTATAGTAAAACTTATATATTTTATTTATTTATTATATTTCATATACTAAATAATATATGTAAATCTTGGTATAGAGTTAAGCAATTAATTAAACATCTTTTAAATGCAGAAAAAAAAGTAGTTCATAAGAAGAGGTTTTTTTTAAAAAGGGAAGAAGCGTAACAAACAATTAAACTTGACACGCATGCTAGCATTAGCATATATTTTCACTCTATTGAAAATCTATTTAATATTAAGGTCTATACTTTTTAATCAAATACTAATAATTATACAAAAACTCAAAAATTTACCACCAATTTAAATTATGAATCATTATTGTTCAGATATCATCACAGCACAGCTAAATATGGAATCGAGAAGGAATGAATAATATTCATAACCAGCGGAAGTTTTGTATGATAAATTTTCTAAAATAAATACTTAAAATCTGAAAAATATTTTACATTTTAAAAATATATATCTGAGATCAGAAACTAAATATATTAGGAATTATGAATAAAAATGTAAACATCAGAATGATTAAACCATAGCCACACTCAGTGATTTCAATAATTCATAAGTTCAAACGAATGAGTTTTTCTTCAAAGTTAATAATGATTGATAATGTAAGTAAAGCATAATTGTACCTTAAATATATATATAATTTTGTAACACCAAAACGAAATTGATCATTAAATTTTCAATAAAATTCATAAATACTCAGGTATTTATGAATCTCAGATATTAACAATAATAATATAATTACCAAGTTATAAAATCTAAGTACATAGGATAGCATACCTGCCAACATTGAAGAAATAAAATAACGGAGATTTTACTAGCAACATTTTTTAGGCTATAAGTAAAATTTTGATCCATCAAGCAAAAAGAGAAATTCAAAACTGGAAATTACATAAGCTCTTACATTTAGTGTGTGTGTGTGTATGAAGTCAAAAATATGTATATAAATCTTAATCTAAAGAAGATTTTTTTAAACCATTTAATTACTTAAACTATTAACACTCAACATACAGCAGTATTTGCAATAGCACCATCTGTTGAGGTATAAAAGAAGTATTTGTGACATATTTTTTGGCAGATATTTTATCGCCAAAAAAAAAATATTTTTTTTAAAAATTTCTCAAACAAATACAGCGAAATTTGAGAATACACCAGTAAACAAGAGATAGATGTAAAATACAGGTGTCTTCGTTAAAAAACTGGAGACTTGGCACGTATGTATTTGAGAAAGAAAAATAGTTGAACTAAAAATTAAAATGCTAAAAACTTTATGTTTAAATTAATTAATACTTGATTAGCTAATCGCATAATGAGAAGTTAAAAATTTAGCACATAACAATAGTACTATTGATTATAATCTATTAAAAAAAATAGCCTAAACCCAGGCAACCTCATCAAAAAATATTACACTACAACTTTTCACAAATGCCGATCGGCCTGTGTAAGGGGGCAGGAAACTGTCCTTGCCTCAGAAAGGTTCTGGGTTCGAATCCCGGGCAAGGCATGGATGTTCCTTCCTTCTCTGTACTATCTGTCCTCACTGTGGTAGCGATGTTGGCCCACCTAATATGAAAGAGAAGCCATTGAAAGAGAGGCCAACAAAATCGCGCTGTAAATGCCTGAATTGACGGATGTTAACACAGGTGGGCATTGGAAAAGAAAAACTTTTTACATATTTAAGCATTAACACAAGTAAAAACAAAATTTATCTCGGCTGGGATAACCTAGTTGGTAGGGTATTGGGCCCATGTCCAGAAGGTTGAATCTCTGTCAGCCGAAGTGTCAATCCGTGTAGCAAATATTAATTGGTGCACATTAAATCTGTCGTGTCACAAAGTCCTCCACGTTCCCATAACAAATCAATACGTGAATTGGAGATTGATTCTTGAAATAATGAATTATATGGGAAAATTGCTTGATCTAAAAATATATATCTCTTTTCTGATTTGTAACTTTCAAAAATTGGAGAAAATTTTAGAACTGACAAAAAAGAAGGGAGTATAAAAATTTCAGATCAATAAAAATGTAAAATGAAAATAGTGAAATAAAATTGAAACTCACGTTATTATTCATCACTAGCATTCCATGCAACACATTTTTTTTTGGTAGTAGTTGTGACAGCTAAGAGTATAAAAAAATAATCTTTTTTATAATCTAACCTGTTATAACCCATACAAATTATTGTTTATCAACTTAAGTTTTTATATTTAAAATCATTTAAGAAAATTCTGTTGACTTTTAGTTGAAAAGTTATACTTAAACAAATATTTTTTCTGGCCAAATGTATTTGAAAAAGAAGGTTGTTTCATTATAAAAGGAGTATATTGGCTGAAGTAAAATATACAGTGGGTGATAGGTTAACGAACAGATCGGTTAATGAACAAATCGGTTAACGAACACTTTCAGGAAAGATTTTTGTGTTCGGATAACGAACACTTTCAGGAGAGATTTTTTGTGTTCGGACAACGAACACATATTCGGATAATGAACAAAACGAATTCTAAAGAACACTTCTCGGCCTGAAAAAAATTAATATTAAACACTTCTTATCATTTTGGACGCAAAATAAGATCACTGAAAGGAGAAATGTTTAAAGCATGCTCAGTATTGATAATCACTAAATGAAACTTGAATTAACAATGAATTTAAAGGTCATTCAATAATTATTATTATGACTAAAATCAATCCTGAAAAAGAGAGAAAGACAATCAACATTGGACATGTTCTTCAACGCCCCATAAGAAAGATATGAAAAGGACTGATTAATATGCAATGCATTATTTTTTAAAATGTGTATGTAATGTAAAAGTAATATGTATGTATTATTTTTTTAAAAACTTACTAAGAAATTATACATTTTTTAAAATTTAATTTTTAGGGACTCCAGAACGAATGAATCGATTTCACATAGAAGTCTATGGTGAATCTATGATCGGTTAACGAACAATTCGGATAGCGAACATAGTCCTGGAAAGGATTATGTTCGTTAACGATCACCCACTGTATTATATTTACATATGTTGCAATATACAGGGTTGCCACAAGAGAATGAACAAAATAATTGCTTTTAGTAGCATAAAGCATGATAAATAGTAGCCAAAAGCTAGGAAAAAAGTTGCATAAATAAGAAGAAAAATTCATCAAAAATATGACTAAAATTTTGTTAATGACTTAATTGTCATATACAATGATTCATTTATTCAAGTTGGTAGCAAATATGATCATTTTTATATAAACGTAAATATATATATATATATATACACTCATGAAAAGTGATTACTCAAATTCGAAATTCAAGCATCGTAACATTGTATTAAAAATTGTTTTTTTAAATTGCGCGGAATTTCGTAGCGGCGATCGAGAAATGAAATAGACTTACAATGGAATCTATGCAGATTGAATGAATTAAAAAGTGAAGACTCAAATTTGCAATTGAAAATTTTTTACTTTTTTATTTTTTAAGAAAAAAAACTTTCAGTGTGTTCAAAAACTATCTTGTGCGGTGCAGGTTTTCCACTCAATTTTTGCTTAAAAATATATATACATATACATATATATCGCTAGGAGTACAGAAAAGTCTCCCAATAGTTTCCTTTTCCTGTAAATAGTTGCTTTTTTAGCCTTTTCAGGCAAAAAAAGTTGCCATAGTTGCCTCATGCCAAAAATAGTTGCAAATAGTTGCATTTTAGTCGCCTATGGCAACCCTGAATATAACATTTTCATTTAAATGAGTTAAAGCATTAAGAACAAAATAATTAAATGCTACAGAAATTTAAAAAAACAAACACCTGTGAATAATTTTAGTACATACTATTCATTTCAAAAATTGCAACAATTTTGAAATTCCAATTTTCTTTTTTTTTAACTTTTTTATTTTTTGTGACTTGAGAGTTTAGGACAAAATTAATAGTCACCCCTGATCACAAGGCAACTAAATAAATTGAATGGTGATTAAAATATGGCCTGCTAGTAGAAAATATACTCCGGTGCATTCTGCTATTATTTGTTAGCCTTTTTTCATAAGTATAAAATTAATATGAATATTTAATAATATTCTGATAATTAATTTATTTCACTATAGTTTCTTCATTTTACAAATGAACCTTGTAGAACCACAACAAATAAAAACATGTTACATGGAATGAAGAGTTATACTTGAACTTTAATGATTAAGAAAAATGATTCTGATATATATGACCATTGAGATTATGTTTACTAATATTTATAAACAAAAATAAATAAACAAATAAAGCACTAACCATGTTATTTTCATTTTGAATATTTGAACAGATAATCCAGAGTGCAACATTCCTGCAGTTTCAAAAACAACCATAGTACCAGGATTATCTATATAAGCACGGTCAAAGGACTGAAAAAGATTTATGCAATTCAAATTATTAACCCAAAAAAAGTAAGTAAATGTTTAAAAATGCAACCAAAAAAGATTTTTTAAATTCCTTAATTCAAGTTAAAATTAAATAGTTTAAGTACATAGATTCCAAAATCTGGCAGATAATCTATCATAGATTTTGAGACAATCAGTAGATATTTTAACCGACCTAAAACCTCATCTTTTTTTCAAGTCACTTAAAAACTTGCCTTATTATAAATGTAACTATCGTTGTATTTCCCTACTGTAACTATCATTTTTTAATCAAGAATTGATTTCATTCTCAATGATACAAGTATTTACAAGTGTCACAGATAGAACAAAGCTATTTGTTCAAAGCACTCTTGAGTAGGAAAATATTGACAAAGCTCTTTGGCATTTACTGCATTTCTGAAAGTTTATACAGGCGGACCTGTTTACGTCGAATATCTCGAGGAAAGCAAAATATTTGAAATAAAGTGGTTTTGAGTTGTACAGGTACTTCAAAAAATTCAATTTAATTAAGAAATTTGATTAAAAGCGCTTTAATTGTTTTTAGTAGAAATATGTAGGCATTTCTGTAAATTAAGTATACCACATATATTTATTTACATAAAAAATTTTAACGTACGGAATACAATCAGCCCAACAAAGAAATATAAAGAAGGGAGAAAAAATTTTAAATTATTAATAAAATTTTAAAATTGGAACTATGTGAAATTATAAGAGGAGTTATTATAAAGCAAATCACCAAATATATTGAGATATTTACATTAAATAAAAAAAACACTATATATTATTGTAAAAACATGAAAGTGCTGTAAAAAAATGTACTTAAAGTGCTACACTCGATAAAATTTAAAAATACTAAAATTAGATACTCACAATGATAAAATTAAAATATTTTTAATGAAAGAAAAGGCAAAATATTTTATTTGTTTAAATCAACTAACTTGATGTGTTTGAAATCAAACATATTACGGTGCACAAATACTTTCTTGATTTTTTTGTTGGTCCAAATTATGAACATCTTACAAAAGGTGGTAGCCTAAATGAAAAAAGAATATTAAAGTGAAGAATTTTTATTTACATTTTAAAATCAATAATGTAGGTTTTTTTATATCTATATATTTACTTTTTCAGTAGACCAACAGCAAAATATATGGGTATTTTAAGATTCATCTTCTCTTAGTAAATTTCAAGAAGAATACACATCTCTTGAGTATGACCCAGAGCAAAAACTGGAATTAAAACCTAAATGAAAAATAATAAACACTTATGCACAGATAATAAAATGCATTCAAAATTTATGAGTAAAATGGATTTAAAAAATAATTAACACTAATTTATTTAAACCTCTTTATTAACGTAAAAACTAACCATAGAAACGCAAAGACTTTTTTTTAACAATCTAGTAGCACAATCATAATAGTTTAGGTATTTATGAATACATATTATATATATATATATATATATATATAGAAAATGCANTGTCATGTTACGTCTTTAAAGGCTAGATAATTGAAGAGACTTAGGCAGCTTCTGTTAAAAAGGCATTTTATTACTTTAGATGGAGTATTGCAAACATTATGAGTGGGATATTTACATCAGGTTTCCCCCTTTGCAGGGATTGTTTTGGGTTGGCCCAGCTTTATCTAGCCATTGAAAATATGAAAAAGACACGCAATTTTGCCTGTCCTGAGTTTTTAAAGTGAGATTCTGAGAGGGCGTGGTTGCAAGTATCTTCTTATCTGAATGAAACGTCATTCAATTTATAAAATTTAGAGGTTTTGATTTGCTAAAAGTATCTCGCCACTCTGACGGTGGGAACTTTCTGGGATTATCTTCATCGACGAATTATTGCCCAATAACTTCAGAAAATAATTTTTTATCTGGCCTTATCTGGTTCATCTCGACTTTTTATGGCTCTTTGTGAGAGACCGACTTCTACATCTTAAACTTGATAAGAAACATAAGTTTTAAGCTTATCAGTTAATATAGAATGACTCGTATGAGAAATTCTATATTACATATATAGAAAATGCATGCCTAGTATTGAAATTGCCATATATTTGTCTCCTCATATCTATTTCATTATTTGTATTGTAAAAATAATAAAAAAATTTAAACTGAAAAATCTGTAATAGAAACTTTTTTTATTCTGTTAATCCCTCCATAACTTACGCTGATAAACTTCTTTCAAAAGACGATAATAAACATAGTAAGAAATATATAGATCAACTTACTGCTGTTTTGAGTACCAATAGTCGTTAGCAGCAAAATAAGCATGATGTTTCCAGGGAACTTGCAGTTTTATGTTTAACTTTGCAAAAACTAACATTAACATAGTTCTATTTAATTTCCATATCTAATTGTCTTGTTCCTGTTATGTTCCTAATTGTGATTCTTAATTAAAAATCAAATACGAAAGTGAGGTCGTTATTACTGAGATAACATATTATTGAGAAATCCTCAATTCCAGCATATTAGCACTGAATAATGTTTTTATTCGCAATCAAAACACTAAAGCTACGCATTACAGAAAACTGTCTTGTGATGGTGATGAGATTTAAGATATTTGACTCTTTCACAACACATTATAATAACATTATTTGTACTTTACAATGTGTTGCAAATATTTTAATTATTGACTTGCTCAAATGTGTAAATAGGCTAAATAACAGAAATATAAGTTGTCTAATATAAGCATAGATATAAAGGCAGATTCCCTATATTAGTCCCTGAAGCCATCATGGCCTGTATCTCCACTGGCTGTGATCGAAAAAAAATATAACATTAAATTGTAGCTTACATAGTACTACAGTTAAAATCTCTGCAATGCGTTAAAAAGCCATAAGCTCATAATTTTGCAGCATAAAGCTCAAAAACTTTTGCAGTTTCTTGCATAAAGGAAACAAACACAAATGTAATTGAATTCACAAGCATGCAAAAAATAAGTGAAACAAACAACTTAAATTGCGGTAAAGACAGCTTTTATTTCAAAAGCGAAATCTTAAAACTGCATTGATTATAATAACTCCACTTTATTATGGACTTCACAAAAGCGGAAACACGAAGATTTGTTTCAGTGCGGAAAAGATAAATTTGAACATGGGTCGAAGAATTTTCGCCGACAAATGTTGTAAGATTAAACATTCTACAACTCGTCTGCTTTTTATTTGAAATTAAAACTATTCATTTCTTTTTGTATGTCTATGTTATAAGTAGATTTATATCACAGCAAATCTTGAACTCCTGTCTATTTTTGATCTTGCCTATTTTAGAATTTTTGAGCTTTATTCTTGTGAAAAATATAATCTTGTGGTTTATTTTATGTTTACTAATTTTTGATCCAAATGGAGTTATATAAAATTTCTAAGAAGTATATTGCAATATCTAATTAATTTTAATATCTATAGTAGTTGAAACTATTCTTACAGCTTTATTTTACTCTGTTTGTTTCTAACAGTTCAACCTTTTACCAATCCTTTGTTCGATTAGCTATTTTTCAAAGTAGTAAAATTTCCTTGTTTTTTTCTTTTCTTTTACCCTGATATATTATTTCAAATTTTAATAAATTTTTTTTCTTTTGTTTAAAAAGATTTTCCAGCAATTGCTCATATTATTCCTCAGTTTTGTGGTTTCTCACTATCCCTTTATTTGCATAAAAATCAATATCACTCAATTTGGTTATTGTATTGTGGTAAAAAATAATTAAATTTGATGTTTGATGAACTATTTTTTTTTCCAGAGGAGCTTACAATTCATAAAATAAAAAGTTTCTGAAGAACAAGTGTGGATTCAGAATGCAACTAATAAGCATAATAAGGTAAGTGTTTTCTTCCTTGTTGAGTAGATTTCCGTGTTGTAATCTGTAACAGAATAATTTTCAAGTCTTGGGAACTTCCAGCAGTGGCCCGCGACAAACTTATAAAAACATCACAAAAAGGGATCAACTCGTAAAGTATAACTCGTAACAATCCCTGGACAAACATCCACATGTTTTTTGTTTTGTTTTTTAAATTGCTAGTTTCAAATCTATTTGTCACCTTGTCAATTGTAGTTGGCGCGACAGATCATGATACGGAAATATCCACCTCTTGTTTTTATTGAAAAGGCTTTTCCTTTCATTCAAATGCAGTAAAGCAAATTTTAAGTTGTGATATTTTTAATTAAATTTATGTTGGGAAGAAAAGGGTAAGATCTGATAGTGAGATTAGACCTGGTAGCTCGATTGTGTTGAAATTAGTTCCGTTTTCTAATGAACGAACTATGAGTTACACTTTTTTAGGCAAGAAGAAGAACCTACCATTTTTTTGAGTTGTTGTTGATTAATTCAAGTCATCTTGGATAAATAAGTTTGTTTTATTTTGGACTTACATTATTTAGAAACTATTGAAAAATTTTATGTATTCAAATATATTTTCTGGTTTTTCATTCTCAAAAATTATCTTTAAGTTTTAAGTGTACTCAGTCATGCACATTAAATTATAAATAAACATTTCTCAGAGGCATAAGTAAGCAATTGCATTTTCATCTGTTGTTACAAGAAAAAAAATAGAAATTCAAACTTTCACCAGTTAAAATAGTTTTCTCAAAAAGATAAGAGAAGAATCTACCCTGACTAAGGATTTCATAATTAATGTTATGAAAATTCTAGAATTTTTTTCTTAGCTTTATCAAAAGCTTTCTTTCTATAATATTCATTTAATTTTTTGCATCAAAAATGGTGATAAATCAAATTAACCAGAAAGTGAAGGTCCTATCAATAGGTTGATAAGTTACATGTTTTTAAAAAAAAAATTTATTCACTTTATTGTTATTATTTTATTTGGTAAAGGATTTATACTTATTGCGGTGAGACTTCTTTATTTCAATTATTTAATGACATTTATCAATGACATTTAAAAGACCGGGAACTGAGAGCTTTTTTAAAAATTAAATTTCTGTATTAGTTTTTTTTTAATGTCTCAGCCTTTTGTTGGGACTTTTTTTATTGTAAGGAAATAAATTTTTTTATGGATTGCTGTCTTTTTTTACAAGATGCTTCTTAATGATCTGGTGCACTTTTTAAAAAATTAATTTAGAGAATGATGAAGTTAGTTTAACTCATTTTCTGGTTTATGTAAAGTGATCAAATATTGTTAAAAGTAAATAAGTGTTAGAATTTTTAGTAAGTTAACTTCCCATACAAAATAGTTCCTTAAATATTGATTATTATTACAATTATTTTTTTTTAAATTGAATTTTTTTTCTAATAATAAACATTAGTAACTTAATGTTAAATGTTTTAAAATAAATCTTTTCTTTTTCTTTCACCCTTTGAGTCACTTTTTTTTCTTCTTTTTAGAACACAATTCTACAAAATGTAATGCATTGAAACAAGGAACACCACAAACAACAGGGATAATTGTTCCTGGGCACAAGAACAAGCATTTTTATTTCACCTTCAAGTTTGACTGTTTTAAACTTTACTTATCAATGAGATTATAATATTTAAAAATTTAANCAAGGAACACCACAAAGAACAGGGATAATTGTTTGTGGACACAAGAACAAGCATTTTTATTTCACCTTCAAGTTTGACTGTTTTAAACTTTACTTATCAATGAGATTATAAGAATTTAAAAATTTAAAGTGACCTCCCTTTTTCCTGAAGTTGCTTTGTAGTCCATGGGGAGTCAATACAGCATTAAAAGATTATCATTAGTGTCCACTGGAATGATATGGAAGTTTCTAAAAGTTTAACAGAAGATTAAAGGAAAAAGTATGAATAAAATAATGTAAAGAATTCACCTATGGCTGGTGAGCCAAAAGTGGCTTATAGCTTTCTCAATTTAGCTCCTGAACTGTCTTAAATAAAAAATACTAAGAAAATAAGAATACCAGAAAAAATATTTTTCCAGCTGTATTCTGCATCATTTACTGATATAATTTGTAATTTTTCTCTAATATTTGGATTGCAACAATTTTGTTTTCAAAGTCTTGTTTATTATGATAGATATGATTTCAAAAATTCAAATTCAAAAACAAATAAAAATAATTATAGGTGAGACCATCACATTCGTCTCATACTGATTAGTAACAATTTTCAATTTTTTTTATTAATAGTTTGAAGTTAGTGAAAATTTTAATTTTCCAACTTTTAATTTTTTCCAACTTTTTGCCTTCCTATGAATTTGTTATAATTGTTGTTTTTTTAATCTACTATTCAAAAATGGTTTTTCATTCATGGTACGTGAAAATTAATTTTTTGGCATAAATTATTTTTAAGTAAATTTTTTTGTTTATAAATGTTATCGATAGCCACTTGTAGCNTTTTTTTTTTTTATAAATGTTATCGATGGCCACTTGTAACAAGCAGTTATATAAAACAGTTATTGAGTAAACTTTTTTATATTGTTCTTACTCAAAAAAGTATCGAGTTTAATACTTTAAAAATACTTTGATCTCTCAATTAATTTGTATTAAAAAATAATTTTTGAGTAATAATAAGTTTTAAGTAAGTTTAATTGTAAGAATATATTTTTATAGGAATCTCATAGCTTTGAATTTTGACATGCCAGTTTTTTCCATCATTCATACATTTTTTGTTTGTTTATTTATTTTTAAATATAAAAATATTTTTGAACAGTATTTTTTTTTTAACAATTTTCTAGTTGATTTAATGAAAGCTTATGTAAAAAATGTTTGCTTGGAAAATATTGAATTCCTCTTTAAATCATGTTCATTTTTTAAGATTATGTTTCAGATAAATATTATTGTGCATTATTAATTTTATTTATCTATTTTTTTCTTTCAAGTGTATCAAATACTTTTTAATTTTTTTTTCTTTATCAGGAGTTCCCAAATGGGAATAAGAGANAGTAACAATTTTCAATTTTTTTTTATTAATAGTTTGAAGGAAATGAAAATTTTAATTTCCTGTTTTTTTCTGTTTTTTCAACTTTTTGCCCTCCTATGAATTTGTTATAATTGTTGTTTTTTTTATCTACTATTCAAAAATGGTTTTTCATTCATGGTACTTGAAAATTAATTTTTTGGCATAAATTATTTTTAAGAAATTTTTTTTTTTATAAATGTTATCGATGGCCACTTGTAACAAGCAGTTAAATAAAACAGTTATTGAGTAAACTTTTTTATATTGTTCTTACTCAAAAAAATATCAAGTTTAATACTTTAAAAATACTTCTTTGATCTCTTAATTAATTTGTATTAAAAAACAAGTTCATTAATAAGTTTTGAGTAAATAATAAGTTTTAAGTAAGTTTAATTCTAAGAATATATTTTTATAGGAATCTCATAGCTTTTAATTTTGACATGCAAGTTTTTTCCATCATTCATACATTTTTTGTTTGTTTATTTTTTTTTTAAATATAAAAATATTTTTGAACAGTATTCTAGTTGATTCAATAAAAGCTTATGTAAAAAATGTTTGCTTGGAAAATATTGAATTCCTCATTAAATCATGTTCATAGTTTAAGAATATGTTTCAGATAAATATTATTGTGCATTATTAATTTTATTTATCTATTTTTTCTTTCAAGTGTATCAAATACTTTTTAATTTTTTTTTCTCCATCAGGAGTTCCCAAATGGGAATAAGAGATCCAACCCTTATTCATTGCATTCTAAGGTATGTTTGTTTTTCATGCATTTGTTTTTACTTTATATTGAAAAATTCATGAAAAAATATTTTTCTTTCAAATTTGATTTAGTTCTTCGAACAATTTCATAATATCATACTTTGAATATACTTTTATAAGTGGATAAATGAATGGATCCGCCTTATAAGCAGGTGTGGCAGAAGTCGAATTCTTGGCCGTAGATGGCCCACTGAAAAACAAAAACAATCACATCACTGAGTGCCTTAATGGCACACGACAAGAACAACATGGAATTTTTAAAAGAATTTACAATGAGAACTTATAAGAAGTGAATAATTAATTTGTTTTACCAGCATTAAATTTTTTTAATGCATATATGAGCCTTTAATTGCTCAGACTATCAGTATTGTATCATGAAAATGATTTACTTCCACTGTTACATCTGATTTCCAATTGGTGCTAGTGTTACCATTTTCCTATGTGATGTCATATTTTGTGTCATACAATGCATTTGTTATGTGAGATTTGTTTAAGACAATGTATTATAGTCTAAATGTAAGCTTTTTCCCACCTAACAGGTTCTGATTTTTTGACTCACAAATTTTTGTGCCTTCTATTCTAAGCTGCTGCTTCAGGTCAAATATATAGGTACATAACTATAAAATTGACATTCAAAATGGTGACCCGTCCCACGTGGTCTAAATGAAATTGCACTTCTGAACAAGAAGTCGTAAATATATAGAATTACAGCAAATATGTACTCATAAATGCAGAACTTATTTTGACAAAAATATTCTTCTTCTATCTACTCCATTCTAAATTTTTAATTTATCTACTAAGCATGTGATATTATGCTAATAATAATATATTTCCGCTGCATAACATCTGTCCAGAAAGCTCTTAAATCTGAACAAAAATAAAGTCAAGAAGAATACATGATTTATCTCCAAAATAAGTTATTCATTACAACACTTTTTAAAAAGATTAAGTATAATTTTTAAACAAGAAATATATGATTCATGAAAGAAATGTACTAATGTATTGCAAGCAAAAAACTCCACATAATAATGCGTTACACATTTTTAATTTTTAATAATGAAGAGTAACTGATATTCCACCATCCTTTTTACCATAGATTACGTCTAGGCAGGGTTGGCAGGTTTTTGACATGTG